GGCCGCCCCGGCGGCAGGGCCGCGGGGTGGCCGCCCCAGAGCTGGGCTGCCACTAACGCACCCTCACATCAGCGGCCAGCGGGCAAAGGCTCTTCAAAGCAATTTTTAAAAAGTTCCGACAGTCCTGCCGTCCCCCCAGTCCCGAGTCTAAAGGGGCTTTTTGACATTTGAGGCACATCAGCAGGACCAGGGGCTACAGCAACGCAGCATGCCCGGCGGTTTTCCCAAGACACGAAGGGCCCCTGCGGGGTCATCCACTCCCTCCTGCTTCATAAACACACCACAGTCAAGAGGACAGCTCTGTTTTTGTGGGAGTTCCGAATTCACTTGCTGGGGGTGTAGCACCAGTTTAAACTGAGCTTTCAGTCAACTGAAAACCATGCGCTGCATCGCTGAGACGGGGAGCACAGGCCGCTTTGAAGGAACCGTAAGTAGTGTTTGGCAGACATTAAAGATCACCAAGTGGGTCCAAAACTAGAGGGTGCACGTGGATTGAAGAGGAAAAAGGTTTAGCTAAGTCAAGCTCACAGACACTGAAATCGTGAAGACCGTCAGTCAAAATAATTTGGAATAAAGTTGTCAGAAAATTACAGCTAAGTAGTTCCAATAAATCACGATCAATCAAAGATAATTTAATTTCCTGAATATAAAGTATTTCCTTCCCTAATGTCTACTGCATGTTTATTACTTACAGCTGGGTTATGAGTTACTAAACATACTACTTAGCATTAGTGAGTAAGGAAAGTACTTTATTCTTTTCTTTTTGTACCCTAGTGGATGTAATTCTGTGGGTAATATATATATAATTTTTTTTTTATACTGGCAAGTGCAGCTTTTCAATGCTAAGCTTGTTAAGGGATATGCAGAATGTATTTAAAATAAGGCAAGAGCAAGTCAAATTCACATTCTGCTTTGTTTTCATTTCACTTACACCGTGCTGTAGAACTCATCCCAATGCAGAAGGCCCAAAGACAACTTTCTGTATCACCTAACCCCAAGATAATGTTTATGGTAACTTTTACATAAAATTGCCTGTAACACCGTTACTCAGCCAAAGTGTGTTCACAAACAGACTGTACATCACTCACGCCATCCCCTTGCACGCGTTGTTCAAATTTAAGAACTATACTCAGTCCTTAATGGGAATGCTGAGGTTCATGATTGCTTTGAGCAACCTTTCAAATATTCATTTATTTCAGGGAAAAAAAAAAAACCCAACAAACCAAACAGTAAGTAAGAAAGTGCCAGTCTGGAAAAAAGAAAAAACGAAAGAGGAAAACAACCTTAACCTACTAGGTTAAGGTTACAGTAAAATGGCCCCAAAGTTCCCCTCGGTTTGAGAAACCGTCCTCCTGCGTGCCGTGACCCTTGAGCAGGGTACAGAAGACAAAAGCATGCAGACAGGACAGAGCGAGCCAGCCAGCATCTGACAGCGTCCCCAGCTCTGCAAACAACAGCCTTTGACATACTCAGCTATTAATTTGTCTAATCACTGTGTAGTCTCTAGACTACGTGAACAATGCCATATAGAAAGCTAATACGCAGATTTGCAATAATGAACTGTTTGCAGTTAAGTTACGGATTACACCGGCAAGTCGTCATTGAGTTTGTTTTTCACAGAAGAAAAAAGGCTTTGGCTCCATGCAGGAAAATGAACTTCTAACGACAAACCCCATGCAAAAAGGGCAGAAGCACTTACCCGCGCTATACTATGCAGACCTTGGAAGATGCTTCGATACTGAACTTCTTTCTGCATGTTTTGTCTCAGCACAGCTCGGTCCCAAAGAGGTCGGCTTGCAGGGAATTTAACACAGAGTAGTGCAAAACAATACATTTTATTTGTTCACAGTTAAACACAAGCAACTGCCTTGACATTTTAGAACATTCTAATAAGGACAGCAAAACCTCCTTTTGGTTTAAATTCTCTTTAGCTTACGATTGTACCATTTCCTCGTATTTCATATTTATGGCATTTAATGTGGATTGTTTAACATGCTTACAAAGAGCGAGGCAGGGAACAGATTAACTTGACAAAGACAGCAATTTTAGATTTAACTAAAAGCAGTCAGTTAAAAAAAAAAAAATCTGTTTCCACTTCACTGATGGGACCCCTTCAAACAAACTGCAAGTTAACTACATACAGCAGATCCATGATTTTTAGACTTACAAAAAAATTGCAAAATTTGTTCCTCCATAATCTTTGTGGTCCATAAACAAACCTAAAGTGGTTTCCATTACTATCCCGGTGCTAAAATCCTTTTTAAAAGAAGAAAAAAGCCACCTTATCAATGAGCTTGCATTACCGCCAGGGCATTTTTGTAACCGACAACAAAAACCGCCTCTCCTCAGAACAAATGAAGTCATCATATAAGCAAGATACTCTTCTGGGCTCGGCAAAGCAGAAGGACAGGCTAACGAACTCCTCCAACGGCTGAGCCAGCCCTTCAAGGGCAATGTGCAAACCGTTCACTCCTGGGGCTGGGACCCGGTGGGGCAAGGGGCAGGAAACCTCCAAATCTTACTGAAACATACGCTACCACGTTTGCTACCACTAAGTCTTAGAAAGCCTATAGACATGTCGACAAAACCAGTCTGTCACTTACAACCAACTCTCTATTTTCTATTCCATGCAGATTCAAGCTTTGACAAAACCACTGAAGTTCACCTTTACTTTCAGAGTTAGGACTGACCAACCGAAAGGACACTGAGAATAATTTAGACAGGCAGAAATGTATTTAGACCCTAGGTGTAATGGAAGAAGCGGAAATGGGAGGAAAAGTACTGTCAGGTGCAAGTTAGCATATTGCCAGCCGCTGCGACAGAGTCCTGTTCCTATTCAGGTTAAGAAGGGATTTGAACTACAAGTGCAAGTGTACTTGGACTTGATTCATATGTGAGACAATTCTTAAATAGCAGCTGCCACCCACAGAACGTTTAAGAGGCCATGTGTGATGCAGGGTAACTGTGAAGCCTGATATGTCTAAGTACGCCTGGACCCAGACATATCTAACATTTAAAACAGGCACACTGCCTTCCTACCAGCAGGCCCTGTTCTGTCACGAAGGAGATTGAGTCTGACCACTGACAAGCCCTGATCCCACAATCCTCCTTCACAGAAGGCTCATCATTGACTTAAAATATGATGAACGCAGAAAGGCTTCACGACAGAATTCTGATTCTCAGTTTGAGCAGGCTTCCTCTTCAGCCTTGTCTTCTAAGGAAACGGGGATGAGGGCGAAGAGGAGATACCTAGAGCCAAACTGACATTACTGAGCTGAAAAATGTGCTGCAGTCTGAGCAGAACAGCACTCAAAGGAAACAATATTCTGTAAGTCAAGCCTGAAAACGTATTCCCGGGAAGAATGAAGCCAATTTCTTGGACTCAAAACACAGTGGTCTTGCTCAGTCCAGGAACAAAGACCAGAACTATGAAGGAGGGTCAGGCAGCACAAGTACTTCCCTGATTAGAGAAACAAATGCTCTTCTGCAAATCTTCATAAGCTTGCAATTCTACATACGTGTTCTGCACGCTCTCCCTACTTGAGTAAAGCTTCCTTTTCCCTCTTCTCCCACCCCAATTGCTTTCCCATATGAACCAGTCTGAGGTCAGTACCAGTCTGTCAGGCAAACATTTAAAATACCAAAAAGATCAGAAGCTAGTGTTTTAACAAGTCTTCAGCATATACGGTCTCTTCTGCATACAACCTCCAGTTCCTTATTAAGTGTCTGTTCAAATGTAACTTTACAGGAAATGTTAAGGACAATATAAACAATGATCATGAATTAGGGTGAATGAATCGTTTTGCAGAGGTACACTGTTCTTTAAACATTTAGGTATTCAGAGTCCAACTTAATGAAGACTGGGCTCTGAGGGATGTGGGACAGTGGACAGGCAAAATAGAGACCTTTAGATGAATGCACTAGAAATTCTAATGCTGCTTCTTTCCAGGCTGAAAGCAACCGAAGTCACCCGGACAGGCAGCACAATTAATTGCTCTAAATTGGAAGCTTGCAAGGAAATACAAAGCATTCATAGTAGACTCACAAATGTTAATTTGGCCTCGTATTGCACTCAAGTTCATAAACGCAGCCACTCACTGGGGACAGGGAGAATGGGAAAAAGTACTTGCAAATGCTAACAGTTGTCTCTTCAAATTAGTACACGCTGCTAAGGACTGAATTTGAGAAAGAAGCAAGATTTAGGCTGGGCATTTCAATTCCAGACCCAAAAATCCACTTTGCATTCGTTCAGCAGCCTTCTTCCGTTTCTGGACATCAATCCTATTCCGCTGCATGAGCTAGCTGCTCAGACCAAAGAAACATAAAAGCTTTTAGTTAAACTTGCATTCACGCCTCCTGTTCTATGCCAAGAATATGAAAATAACACTGATTGACTATCTTCCTTTTTAACTGTGGTCATGATGAGTTTCATTGTAGTCCATGATATGAAGCTGTCCAACACTGCTTTCCTGGATCTTAGGTGAGAGGCTAAGGTTATCGGGGCTTGGAGGGGCCTTTGTCTCCATGCTTGGATCTTTACATAGTTCAGTCTTTAGAGCATCAGAAAGCCTGTTGATGGTTACACCCTCCTCATCACACTGGCTCTCACTCTTGTTGCGAAATAATTCTCGTGCCTTCATTCCAAGGAAGCTCTTGGAGCTGGGGAGTGAACCTACAGTCAGTGGGACAGTAGTCGAGGGCTCCAGCAACATGGATGTCTCCCAGCGACTGCTGAATCTCTGGTTCTGGGTTTTTTCCGGGGTGGAAAGCTCACTGCTGCTGCCACCCTTACTGCTACTACTACCTCGAGTGCTGGGAGGTTTGGTCTCTCCATTTCTACCAATTGTTTCTTCACTGTATCCCACCACAGTATCTTCATTACCACAATCCAGCCTGTTTTGGAAAGAGAGAGGATACAGTGTCAAGGAAACTGCAGCAACTGTTTACAATGGAAGGAAAAATGCTGGGGAAGGCAGGTTACTTAGATCACTTTCCATTTCTGCTACGGCGTATGCACTTTAACAGTTTTCCTTTCACCGTTTTCTAGCAAAGCAGCGGTGACAGAGGGTAACCAGAAAGGTAAGTGTCACACACTCAGCTTTGCAACATCCAGTGTTTTAAGTCCAAAGCTGACAATAATCCCAAAGCAGAATGGAACTGGATCCTGATCAGTTAAGGTAAAGGAAGAGATCTGTACATCTTCCTTGGATTGTAAGTCTTTCTTTTACCTAGCCCAAGCACAGGTGATCGCCACTTGCTGCTAGTGCAAGAAATTATCCTGACACTGTAGCAGAATTTGGTGTAGAGAAAAAAGGTATGACCTGAGGGAAAGTACAGAACTACCTAGGTAGACATATGTAAAAGAACTATTTAACAACAGTGTAACCATTTGTAGATTAAAGAGACCAGTCTATGAGATAAACCAGAGGTTTCTCTCAAACTTTGAGTAATGGTTCAGCTATCTGAGAAGTACTTCATGAGCACTTCCAGTTTTGCCAATGACTCTCGGTAACCTGTGCAGAGTCCTGAAATAGATTCAGTCTGTAAAAGGGAGAGTAACAGAAATATTTTGAGGTGATGCATCCAAGTGCTAGGAATTCCACGAGGATATCAACTTCCAAGGAGTTGCTCATGAGTCCAGCATATTCTACATCATCACCCTTACCTTTCTTCTGCTGCTTCAGCTGCTTCTGTTTTTTCATCTTCAAGTTTTTTCAGTAGGCTGCTCTTCTCCAGCCGGCCAAACAGATCCAAGATCTCCAGCTCAAATGCCTGTGTGATTCTTTTCTGGGCCTTGTACCTACTTTCTACTGCTTGCAGCTGACCTCTGAACAGAAAAAGAAATCAAAAACCATCAGGTTCAGTGTCTCCAGATTCTGCTGCAACTATGATAGTCCATCTGCCAATGCATGGTTAAAATTTTACATAGGAAGCTCCTACCTTGCTTGGATTTTTACATCTTCCAGGTATTTCTTTTGCTCCAGGAAGAGGTGGTCCTTTTTAGCAAGCTGAGATTCCAGTTCAGCTATCCGTTTCTGGGAAGCATCAAGCCTTTGGCTTTGCTGTTGAACACACAATTTTGCTTTCTCCAGTTCTTTCCGAAAAGCAGCGTGCAACATTTCAACCTCCTCGAAGGAAAGAACACAACGTTAACGTATAATCTGTGTGTTATTTTTATTAATATTTAGACATGTTTCTGATGCTATAAATAGGCACATTTTTAACCAGGATGGAATAAAAGAAGCATTTCTAAAAACAGATATAGAAAACTGGATACTCTGAGGATGTAACTATTAAGTTACTGTGAAAATAACTATACATCACTGGAATTTATTAGCACATTAACGTTCCTTATGAGAAGCCCTTTTCAACAAAGCAAACTTGCCAGGTCTGCACCAGATTAGGACAGACAAAGTCAATTTTAAAACCATTTTTGCAACATGACCTTCATTAAACACCAGTAAAAGACTTTTTTTTTTTGGCTTATTATTCACCTTCTTTAATTACTTTCTCTCACGCAGAAACAGTTACATTGTTGTGTAATTTACTTGCTTCTAATTAAAAAAGGTTTCTTTGAAGTCAGGAAGTAAAACCATATGAACCACAGAAGTTTTAGTAAAGTTAATACTGACTCTTCATAGGAAAATGACTGAGTGAGAAGAATAAGACTGCTTGTTTTAAAACAGCACCTCACAAAACCCCGTAAAATCCTGGTCAAGATCTTTTTACAAATTCTAGCAATACTACCCTACGTTATACACTTTCACAAACATAAGAGCCCAATGTTACTCTACCAGCAATAGTCCGCTGCCAGTTACATTAAGAGCACAGTAAAGTCTTGGCCTTTGGCAATAAAAAATTGCTAAGAATTTACACCAAGTGGCTAAAACTGACTTCAGGTGTACCCTAACATCCCCTTCTTAGCTTTCAGGCACAGGGCACCATAAACCTACCGTACACAAAAATATCTGACCAGAAGATTAAATATGAAATCCAATCCCTGAAAATCAATTTCAAAACAAAGGATCTGTTAAGTTATGAAGCATTTCCTTTGTTTGGAACACAAGGCTGAGAACAGCTTGGTGATGACCTCAAATGAAGTCTTCCCCAAAAGGCCTCCTCTGCAACTCTGCAATCATACCTTCGTAGTGTCTGTGTGCTTGTGCTGCAGCTGCTCCAGGTACAATTCATTCACCTCTCCAAGAACCAGAAGTTGCCTGTTCAAGAACTCCATCTGCTGTTGCACTGATTCGCTGTTGGAAAGCTTTAAAGAGAAATTGGACAGAATCAAACACTGGAATGAATAGTTCAGCAGATGTGTTCACAGGGTATTTTTATAAAGAAGGGAGACAAAGACAAGAATCCAATGCATCATAGATAATAAGCGTTAAATAAATTAGTTTGCATAAAGCTGGTGACAGTCCATACAGAACTTCACCACATAGGCATCGCTTCCCTTAACATAACCGTGTTTCCACTTACACAAGAAGTCTGTTCAACTTCTGATACAAACAAGATCTCCAAGATGCCAAGATTTAACAGAGCTTTAATACAAGTTCATGTTGCTCAATCTGCAAATTTCTGTTGTGGAAAAAGCAGCCAAAATGAGAAGTTTCAGAAGCCTTTGAACCGAGTTTAAAGCTTCTTCACCAAAATACATTTCTCTCTGTTGTTTTTGTGCAATTAATATCAGATTCTACGGAATTAAGCCAGGCTTCTTTCAGAACAAGGAAGAAAAAGCACCTGATAAAAATTATCGATAAAAATAAACAGAAAGACACAAAGAGACCCTGGGAACAGTGACTTTTCTTACCTTTTGAGAAACTTGGCTAAGAAGCAACTCAGTGTGACACACCTTGTTGTTAGCCTTCTTTAATTCTAACCTCAGATCTGCAATCATATTCCGGCAGTCTTCCAGCTTGGTCTGTTCAAAAAAAAAAACTCACTCAGGGTTCTGCAACTTTAATAAGGACTAGCAATGGCATATGGCTGGAGGGCCGTAACCCCCAGCACTGTAAGTTAAGTTATACTGAGTACTTGTGAAAGTCCCAAAACCAGCTCAGAAATTGCATTTTCCTATTTCCAAACTGAAGACAGGGCAAAACAGAACTATAAAAGGACAATGACTAAGTTAGGCATTTCCAATTATGCACTGTCTTAGGACAACATCTCTAATAGAGATATGTAACTTTCTCTCAGATATTTCATGCCATGTTATTAGGAAGGTTATTTTTAAAACCAGTAAGTAGATAACATAATTTTGTTCACTGTCATGCTTCATACCTGCAATTCCTGGCTCTGGTTGTAGAATTCCTCCCGGTCATGTTGCAGCTGTCTGATCTGGCTGTGAAGCTGAGCCACTATATTTTCATGTTCCTCCTGAAACTGGTGGTACCTTGCCTGTTCTTTCTGCAGACTCAGTTTCAAGGCCTGGATTTCTTTCTCCTGTAGTTTCAGCTGATCTTTCTGATAAGAATGCCACATGAAGAAGCATCAGACAAGACACCTGCTTTATCAGTTAGAACATCTGTCCTAAGCTGCTAGCTAAGTAAAGCACTAGTATCAATTAATAGCATGCAGGCATAACACTTTTCCATACACAGAACATTTTATATAAAGCATGTTCTTAAGGTTTTTGGGGTTTTTTTTGGCTCAAAGAGAGATTAAATGGTGCTAGAGTGGACAGGCTGAAAACTCCAAGTCACATCCAAAGGCACAGTGAGCAATAGCAGGTTCTTCCACTGCACCTCATGCTTTCAACAGGGACTTGGGCTTCACAGCTGAAGCTACAGTTCATTTTCCAAAACCTATTTGGAAAGCTATTTTTGGCTTTTCTACTGAATTATCAAAAGGTAAACTGTAAATGGAAGTAGCTATAATATGGAGGTGCAGAATGAAACGTGCCTAAATCTGTAATGAGACATCCTTCAATGCACTTAAAATTTCAAATTTTATCATAGTAAATACCTCTGGAAAGGAACATTTGGGCTTTCAAAGTTTTGACTATTGCTCCTCAATTGAGGAGTGGAAGGACAATACTTCTTCATACAATGCAATAAGGTGTCTAGCCAGGCATTAAGTAACCACTCCACTAACTGTGAAGCCTTTAATATTATCCAAAGGTAAGTGCTGGCAGGGGTCAAGCATGCAGGCAGCCACTGATTCAGTTGCCTCCAGTCAAATAGAAACTACTGGTTTTAATAATCATGGTGCACGTAACTCATCCACAAGTCATTCCACAAACACTGACTTTAATGAGGTGAGAAACAAGGCTTCTTTTTTAATTGAGTGGTACTGAAAGATACTGGCCAAACCAATTAATAGTTGTTCTAGCACCAGTCTGTTTAAGTGACTGCTAGAGTTGTATCCCTGCTCACCATGGCAGCATTATGTTCCTCCAGTGCTGTTGCTTTAATCACTTTTCGCAAGAGTCGACGGTTCCGAAGGGCATGTTGCTGTCTTTTGAAGCGTTCATACAATAACTGGTTGTGCAGCAAAAGCAATTGGTTACGCAGGGTGTGAATCTCATCCAAAGGGGGAGAACCTGGATTGGAGTTAGAAGACACAAGAGGTTACTGAACTGTACTGTCCCTGCTCCACATATAGGAACTATTTTCTAAAATAAGCAAATCAGATTTCTTTGAAATTACAACTTAAAAATCTGTCTGTTCCATCTGATCTCCAACACAAACTTAAAATTTTAAACATTTTTCCCAGAGCAACATGTATAGGCTTCAAATGGATCGCTCCTTCTATTAAGAAAAAAAGCCAAGCTCACCATCACCACAGAAGCCTAAGAGCACAAAACTATGACACACATGTAAAGCAGCAAGAAAAACAATCAGTTTTAGATTCAAGTAATATTTCAAAGGTGGAAAGATCTGTTAGATGATCAGCAGATCTTAAATGTCAAAAGTAGGAATGTCTAGAATTATGGGGAAGGCAATTTTTACTTTGCAAAGATGAAAAAAACCAGCTCATCTCACTGGAACACACATTTGTGTGTTCTGTGTATCTGCTAAGCAGATAAACCATGACTTAATGGAGGGCACCATCTATTTTTTTTTTTTTTTTTTAAACTAATGCGTCAGAAAAAGTATGCAGGTCATTGTTTAAGCAAGTCTAATAGCAGAAGAACAGATTGCCAAAACACGAGAAACTCCTCACCTCCAAAGTGAGTCCAGTCAGCAGATTTGCTTGGCAGAGACAATCTGAAAAATGAAAATGCAGCATTAAATAGCAAGTTTAAATATGCAAACACTCTGCAAGTCACTTTAAAATGGAATGCCCACCTCAAAAGAGCTTACAGCCTAATAAAAGTACAATTATGGTCAGTCCGTATGAAGGGAATAAGCAGGAACCGAGCAAGCAGCAGGTTGCAAGGGCAGATGATGGAGGGCATAATTTCTTGTAAGTTAGAGAAAAATTCTCTCAAGCATAGAAAACAGCATAAGGACAAAGCGGAATACAGGGTAATAAGATGAAAAAAGGAATACAGCAGATAGACCTAAACCTTAAATCTGGTTCTCCAGTTCTTAGCTTCATGTATATTAGAAAGAAGAAAGTGTCAATCTCCTCTTGGCCTCTACATTTGCTTTTGACTATCTAGTCAGGGACTTAAACCTGATAAAGTAAACAAATCTCACTAACAGTGGTACCAAAACCACACTTGCAGCATAGCAAACAGCCCTGCTTCTTCATCCCAAGCTCTGTCAGTAAAGGCAGTAAGTCCTACGGTCACAGCCCCTTTTTTTATACCAAAGCAAACTAGTTACCACTGCAAATATAAAAATCCTCCACCCAGAACCCCTAGCTCAGTTAACAGTAATGTTTCACAGAACATGGTTTCATTGTAGATTTCCAGACACACTTGCTTTTCAGGCACAGCTATTAAAATAAAGCCAGCACAAAAAGGAGTAACAAGGAAGTTTGCAAAGTAAGATCTTCAGTCACCTACTTGTTCAGCTCCTTAGTGTGTGCATCTGCTCCTTGCTGTATCAGTCTGTCCAGTACTTCCACGGGGGAAGTAGAGGACATGCAGTCATCATCCTGGGTTCCCTTGGCTTTCTTTAGCAGCTCCTCAGTTTTCTTGCCAACAAAGAGGTAGGCAGTCTTTGGTAATGCAACCTCAAAAAGGTGCTCATATAGGGGAGGCTGCCCACTCCCAAACACCACTCTTCTTTGTGCTGGTACTTTGCAAGGACTGGGAGTGAGAATACTCGTCTCCCCAGAGCTTCCTTCCCTGTTACCAGCAGTGCTTTCACCAGAGCCTCCACAGGGCTTGTCTATGGGAGTAAACGTTTGTTTGGGTGTTTCCCGCGCACTCTCAGGCCCAGGCTTGTCCAGAGAAGATGTTAAAGGCTCAGAGGTCTGACTGTGTCCCTGAACGCTAAAGACTACTGAATGGGTCTTCTTTTGAGAGCCTGACAGACTTTCATTTGTGCGGTAAAATGGAGAGTCAAATCCTCCTCTAGGCACCATGTGTTCAGCATCGGTTGTGATCTCGGAGATCTCTTTAGATATTGCATCTGAGAAGGATGAGAGGGGGAGCATAATTACACATCTTGTGTTTCAACATTACAAACGTTTCCTTTGCTAAGATGTATGTAAGGATGACAGAAATTACCTTCCTCTCTGTCCTTTTCAGCACTATCTTCAAAAGACAAACCACATAAAAACTCTGGAAGATCACTTAAGGTTACTGAACTTTTACTACCGGGTGTGTCTGAAGAAAAGTAAAAAAGAAAAGTCAGTTGTACAGATGCTGTTTTCTCCAGCCTTATCACAGCACAAAACAGAAGTCTTCTACTGCTGAAAGGGCCTTAGAACAAGCTTGTCCCTCCTTCAGATGCTTCCTCAAAGGAGGAAGCTATCTGACTCCTGTTCCATTCCATGTAGAAACCAGTTCAGAGATCAGTCACTGGTCTGTCCTGATCCCGAAATGTAATTTTGTAAACTTAACATTTGCTATTGCACAACAAATGTAGGCGACTGCCTCTATGAATAAGGGTGTGCCGTTTGCAATTTAACCCATTAAATTAAAAAAAAAAAAAAAAAAAAAAAAAAAAAAAAGAGAGAGGCTTAAGTGTAGAGTGGCTACTATACTTCCACATTAGCATTAAACTCCCCTTTAGCTTCTGATCTGGCTACACAGTACTTACCTGAAAAAAAGGAAGTTTAGCCCACTGATGTAATACAAACTTGACAATATGTGACTACTGATCAAAACTCTGAGACAGCTGCCAGGGAGATAACACTAAAGCATGCAGGATAGAAAGCTCACGCTCACAGCTCACTCACAGACTAGGAACCCAGTGAAAAACCTAGCCTGTTCTTAACTTGTAATTCAGAAAGTTCAAGTTCCAGTGTCCACAACTTCAGCAAGGAAAACCAGCTTTAAATTTCACTATCATCTCCACTTTGAGGATGGTAAAGATTCACAGTATGTAAGTCTCAAATACAGTGCCAAAATCCCTTTCTACAGCTGTCACAGATGTAGATGACAGAAAATGGAATCTAGATTTACCTATTAGAAGCTGAGTTCCTCAACCATCCACTGTTGATTTCAATATTCCACAGGACTTTTAAAAAAGGTTCAAGTACAGCAATATAATTGTAGATAAAAAACAAAGTTTTTCCAAGAGCCTTTAAAAGGGAGCATCATATCTATCCTTATGTGCAGCCTTACAGTTTGATCCAGACATGTGACATAAAACTTGTTCAAATAAGACTTCATATACAACTTGCTGCTTCTAATAAAAAAATTCACCGTCAAAGAATCAGCTTTTAAAAAACAATATCCTTTTTCAGCCTTCAGTGTAGATCAACATGCATAAGTACGCACGAGGGCCAGTTAAAAAAATTCTGCAAGCTATTTCTGAAGGTGAATAGTTAAAATGAAATCAAAAGCATCACGAGAAGGTTTTAAGTTGACTCACAGATTAAGGCAGGATCCTGGAACTACGAAGAACTCGGGGGGAAAAAAAAAACCACAACAAAAAACGAAAGAGGAAAACCTGTGGAAAAGTGTTTGGCAATTGGAACACGTGTCAATAAAAACAGGATTTGTTTACAACAGGTTATTGTAATGGGGAGAGGAAAACGGAGTTTACCCAATGATTTATCGCTGTTTATGACATTTTGCTGTCGGTACAGTAAAGGCCTCCCAGGATCTGGTTTGTCCTCCTGAAAAAGAACAAACCAAAAACCAAAATAGATTCTTTGCATCAGACATCTGTTGGAAGCACACCTCTTGGACAGTTTCATAGAAAGCAAATTCTGCAAATAGATGGCTTAAATAGCAAACCAATATAAGACGTCTTAAAATTGTGCAACTGGAAGAGGCAATAGTTGTCTGAACTTAGAAGAAAACGAGTTTTTGCAATAAAATGCAACATTTTTTTGTAAGTCTGTTACTCTGATTTTCCTTCTCAGTTATGGTCACTGCATGTATGACAAATCAATGAAAAAAAATCAGATTTGTTTGGCAGAAGAGTTTTGTTATACCTTTTTAGGAGGCGTGGCAGCAGCTGAAGGGAGTGAAACATGCACAAAATCATCTGAAGTGCAGGGTGGAGGAGGAGATGTGGCTGGCGTTCCCAAAGGTGTTCCCTTCCCCCCTGCTGAAAAGGAGGAGCAGAAGTTTTCTCAGCAAGGCTCCCACTTCCTCATTTCAGTTGAATATTGTATGTGAAGAATTATACGTTTAAACACTATCTCAACCATTTACTTCTTAAATCTCCTTCAACTATTTACCAAGATAAAAGTGCACAGTTTCCAAAAGGCCTATTTCAGACTTCGGCACTTAATTCACTGTAACTTATTTCCTATCTCAGTGTTTGTGTTAGTACTGCTCTAGATGACCAGGTACCCAGTTCACAGAAGTAATGACTTAAGCCTATCAAATGGCAGGGTGTGGCATTCCTATTTAAGAATCTGACAGCAAAATTTAAGCCAGAATTTCTATTATAATAAACCTTGAAGGCCTAATTCCAAAATGCAGCACGTACCAGATGTGCCAAAAGCTTTGCTGTAAGGTTGTGATGCAGACTGGGATGACTCTGATGGGACAATTCCAGGGGAGGTTGGTGGAGTGGTCATACCACATACTGCAGAAGGACTCCAGATGGTAACCTATGTAAAAGCAATACACAATAAACACAAATCAGTGAAGCTCAGAAAAGAAGCATCTGTATCCAGGTTCTGACACAGGAAATCAGATGGGTATTAAATATGAAACATTAAGTTCTGAAGAATTCACAGTACTTCTCAGAAACATGAATTTTTTAGATTGTCACAAGAAACTACGAACAAAGTGCAAAGAATTAAAAGCATGCTGCGCTTTATCTTCTGCTTTACCTGCTGTGGCTCAGTTGACAGCCGTATTGACTGTGGGCTCAGAATCTGAGGTAGCTGCCCTGGCATTTGTGATAGTGTTAGCCGAGGAGTGGAATATGGGGTAGAAGTCCCTGAAAGTTTTAAAAAAAAAAAACCAAAAAAAAACCCATTAAAAGTATCCTGCACATCAAATACAAATCAATGATTCTTCTGGCTAGTATTTAGAGGCTTTTAACCAAAACATTTCAAATCCATTCAACATACACAGTCGTAGCTAGCAAACAAGACTTTTCTTCCAGCCCAAGAAAATATCTATTGAATATATTACATACTACAGCTTTCTTTTTGGCTGGTTCATTGTTCTGGGGCAGGGAGGACAGGGGAGGAAGAGGCAGTGGAAAGGCAACTTGCCAACATTCTCTACGACCAGAGCGTATATCTGTATGTTTCTTTTTTTTTTAAATGACAGTTTATTTTCTGGTGCCCAAGAATTTAAGTGGTATACATTAGTAAGATGTCTTTTTGCTATAGGGCCAGTTTTCCTCCAGGAATTGGGTATTCATTAGCCGTCAGGCAGGTCTTACCATAGCTGCTCTGTGTGTCAATGTAATAGCTGGCACTGGGGTCAGTTTGATGATGTTTTAAGCTTGTGCAGAGTTTCCGAGACACAGAGTAATACCCATCTTCATACGAGGCTTCTGCAGGGTCCAGGGAGATTTTGGCACATTCTATCACAACATCATGAGTTTCTAGTCTTTTCCACCTGCAGACAGTTTTTGGATCCAAAAGAGTAAGTTAGTCAATTATTGTTACAAACAAGAGTTCCTGGAGATATGAGGAATTGGCTTGTAGGATGGCTCATTTGTTCCAGACAGCTTTGCATGCTCCCAGCCAAAACTGGAACAAGGCACCATACAGAAATTGCAACCAGATGACTTGTAAGAGGGGGTCTCAGAGAGGAGACAAACAGCTTTGACACAGAGATCCATAAAGGTCTGCCATGGAGCACTCTGGAAAGGAGGAACAGCATACGAAGACTTGGTTGATCCTGAGCTTCAGCAGCTGTAGAAATCAGCTCAATTAGACTCAGATGTTGGTAGTCAAAATTTAGACATGCCAGCAGTGAGGGAATCTTATATTATTTAAGGAAACACCATCTGCAATGCCAGTTTCAGGTCTGTGTTTTTCCTCCCAAGTTTTGGGAATGTTTTTTATTATTACTACCTCCTTCATTCTGAAAACTTTTTCTCACTAAATTAAGCAGACAAATTAGATCTGCCCAATATTTCAGGGGATGGAAGTTCACTGTAAAGAAGAAAAAGCACAGCAGGCCGTCTATTAAAGGCTGAGTTGCTTTTGAATGTAAGATATTATGTGCAAGACGCCAAATCAGAAGGCTTCAACTGGTAGTTTTGTGCCAATTGTACTCCTTAGTGGTGCCACCCTCCCCCCTGTCTGGGAGAAGCCTGCAAAATTGAGCATTGTGATATTCAATAGGTTCCCATTTAGTAGTATTTTCCTAGTGGCTCTGAAAAGCAGGGCAAGAGCACTACTGTGCAGCAACAAGAGTCAATTTCTCCTCTTCAGTGGCTGGGCCTGTGGAGACAAGAGAAAAGCAGCAAGTGGTGCTGCTGCAGGCAAATGAGCCTATTTCTAAAGAAAACTAATACAGCTGATAATGTTAAGACATACCTGTTAAAAGAATTGATCTGTTAACTGAACCAATATCTAGGTACCAAAACAAGACACACTGAAGCCATTTTAAACACTTAAATCCCACCAAGTACTTCAACAAACCAAAAAAATATGACCCAAACATTAAGCCAATGAAGCAGGTCAGTGGTAGTTTCTCTTTAGTCATTACAAGCAAATTATTTTAGAACTTTATGAGGATGTTTGATCTTTAAGTCATAAAATTAGGTCAAAGTCAACTGTTAAGTAGAAGACAGATTCTATCGCAGACACAAAATGAATCCAGAACCTCAACATTGTTGCTAATGGCCTTTCACAACAGTTTTTGCTTATTCATCCAGCTGTAAGCCTGGATGAAGAAAGTCTTCATGTTTACCTGGTGTACCTATGCATATGGGTGACAGAACACCACTGGCACACACTGTTGCTGACAGAAAAGATTTTCCTGTAAGCCTTCTGAAACAACCCAGCTAAAAGCTGCTCATTTATAGCCTTTCCTAATAGCAGAGTGAACATATATACCTTCGTGGGTCCAGTTCATGGTCCTTAGATCCAGTCACTAATTCTGGATGAATTCGCACATGTTCCATCATTGGCTGGATGAGTAAGAGCAAGAAGAAGTATGCATTATCAGTACAGCATCTTTTGATTGCACTAAACTACACAAAGCTGATGAGCAACCTATTGATCCCAATAGTTCAGAATGTTACATTTAACAGATAAAGCTAACACACATCATCACAGCTTCAAAAGATGATCTTGCTCTCAACTGAGAATTCAATCCTCCAATAGCCTGTTTTTATTCTGTTTTGTTGAGCAGCCCTCAGTTAAATCAGTGTAGTTTATTAAATTGGCAAATACCTGCCTTTATACAGCTAGGAATTCCTTGTCTCAGATAATACAGAGACGAGCAGCATTTTACCTTGACTACCTCTTCAAAGGTCTCCAAGTTTTCCTTCATACTGTAGTGAGAACGCAGAAAGGAGACAAAATTGCAAGGATACATTCCATAAAGACGATGAAAGAGAGCATAGACGCTGGCATGAAGATGGACAAGATAAATCTCTGCCACGTGACCTGGAAAAAGTAGTTAGAATCTTTTTCATTACATTGAAGAAAAGAAAAAAACTTCTAAGAATGCAAGCAAAGTACTTTTAAATTTGAAATGTTAACTGGAACAAGTCTTCTGAGATATGAACAGTCCCTAGTGAAACTGTGAAGTCTTCTGAGAGAATAGGCAACACTTACTCATCAGCTCACAGCAAACCCAAAAATTAAGATATGGACCATTAATTCCAACAAGAATCCTGTCATTCTCAAAGCACAGCATTTTTTATTCAAGTTAAAACCTGAAACCCCTCTAGATAGAGAGCCAGAGTTTTCAAGACTGACTGAATGATTAAAAAACTAAGGTTTGCTTCACTTCAAAGGTAAAAACTAAAAGCTTGTATCCACAAAAAGCAATCACGACAGACTTGAGCCTTACTAGCCATCTTATAAGTTCCAAACCTACTTGCAATGCAAAATGGTCCTTTAAATCACATCTCTATGTGCTTAACATAGCATTTGTTCATACAGCCATGAGACACATACATAGATAATGCTAATGTTAGGTATCAGACACCTTACAACAAATTCAGCAAAACCAATTCATCAGAACCAATGCTATAACTCAGAAGATTAGTTTTACCAACGCTTTCATGATTATTGACAGTTGCACATTAAAAGAAACTCTTACATGTTGCTTCTTCCCCCTCCCCATCCATACCAGGGAATCTCAAATTCCCAAATATCTGCCTCAAATGTTAGCATTTCCCTTCTCTATCCATTAAGGTCAATCTCTGCTTTTCACTGTCATCAGGATAGCATTTTGGTCCAGTGAAACTTCATGTAGTAGCTGCACCACATGGAAGAATCTAAGAGACTTCTCAATTTTGAGCAAAGAAGCACTCCCCGATGCTAACTATCAAAGAACAGAACAGCTTGTGAGCTTATGTCATGGTTTACCCCCAGCCAGCAAATAAACCCCATGCAGCCGCTCGCTCACCCCCCCCCCCCCCGGGGGGATCGGGGGGAGAATCGGGAAG